CGGGGCCGCCTCTGGGTTTGGACCCGTTTGGGCCCCGTGCGCTGCCGTCCCGTGGGGCAGCGCCCGAGCCGGACCCCGCGCGGGGGCCCGGGTGTTTCCCGCTCTGCAGCTGCGAGGCGGCTTCGTTCCAACAAACGGCTGCAGATTCTCCGGAGGGAAGAGGTACCCGAGAGCTGAGGCAGACGGGGGGCTGGAGGCCTTGGCGTGAGTTCAGAGCAGGACAAAGCTGGGCTTTGGCCTCGGCATATTTTGTGTTACAGGTTTAAGACTGATCAGATTGGGGGGAAAAGAAGAGGAACTGCTTGATACGAAGGGAATAAGGGCTATTGACCATAAAACTGAGGTTCAGGCTCTTGGTGCGCTCGGGTTTTGGTGCAGTTTGGGTTTGCTTGCGCTGGCGGCTGGCGCAGCTCAGGGCTGGGCTGTCCTGGTGCTGTGCCAAGCTGGCCGCTCTCCCTGTCCCCCCGCACCTCCCCCCGCCTCTTTAGGAAGAGGGCCTGGACGCCAGAGCCTCCCGTCATCAGGGCTGGACAACCCGCCCTGTGTGAGCTGGGCTGTCAAGCGCTGCGGGTGCCCGGGGCCCCGGTGCTGCCCCGGCCTCCTGCAGGGCCCGTCCCTGCGCACGGCACCGCGAGCCCGGGGGGGACATCGCACCCGGCGGCTGCGCTGCTGCCCGGGGACCCTCGCGCGGCGACGGGGGGCAGGGGAGCGCAGGGGGACTGCCCGGAGCAGGACCCCGGTGCCCGTGGCGCTGCCGCTGGTGCTCAGCAAACCCCGGCGGCCCCGCGGAGCCGCCCGCGGGACGGAGCTGCAGGCGCTGCCTCTGCCAGCGCCTCCGCTCGGAGGCCGGGAGGGCTTAGCAGGCTTCCCAGCGCCAGAACTGGTCGCCTTGCAGCTCCCCTGCCTTTTCTGTCCACCCTGCAACTGGCGGTCACCAGACTGGAGCTACCCATAGTCCAAAAGCCTCATTGCCACGGCAGAGCCGTGACGTTGGCCTTGGCAGCGCTCACATGTCCGTACTCGAAACAGAGCGCTGCCGGCTCCTCGGAAGATGCTGGTGGGACCCGTCCCTGTGCCCGTCCGCACACCGCAAACGGGCCGGCTCCGGGGGCTCTGGCACCTGCAGTCTTGCTGTCCCGGGGATGAGCAGCTCTGCTCCACGCACAGGAACGTCAGGACACTTGTGCCTCGGGTTCCTCCTGCAAGTAGGAATAGGTGCAAAAAAGAAGGCTAAGTTTAACTGGTGGGACAGCCCTTGGAGGTCCAGCCTGGGGCGGGCGGAGGAGCCGGGCAGCCCTGGTTGCTCTGCGCTGCCTGGGAGTGCCCGGGGCGTCTCTCTGCTCCGGGGCTGTGGATCAGAGGGACCTGTTGCTGCTCGGAGTCACGCGAGGCTGCAGAGCCTGGGAGAGGTCACTCGTTTGTCCCCCTGCTCCGAAACACGGGATAAGGACACCAGGACTAAACTCATGCTCCTCAGTGACTGCTGCCTGGAGCTCCGGAGGGGACAAGTCTCAGTGCCCCCACAAAGGGCATCTGTTCCCCTTGTCCTCTGTGGTCTCCCACCAGTCCCCTTCCCCTGACAAAACATAATTTCTGCTCCTGTAAAAAGACAGAAACCTTTGATGTCCCTGAGGACACAGGGCCCGTTCTCTGCAAGGTCCTTTGCTCCCCGGGGGTTGTTGTGGGACCTGTGTGCTCTGCGGCGTCCCCTGCCCAGGGCCTCCTCCAGCCCCAGCGAGCCCAGACCTGTTGCTCTTCCAAAGCAATCGCGTTTTCCAGCACTCCTGTTTGGGAGCTGGATGCAGCTCAGGCCCAGATGGGACTTCACCAGTGCCGAGCAGAACATAAAGCTGGACCTAATTATATCCTGAATTTCTTTTCAGCAGCGTCTCTGCTTTTAGCTCTGCGTCTGCTTCCTGCTCCCCTGTCGCAGCGTGCACCTCTCTGCAGAGTGTTGGTCTCGTTAACCCCTCCGTGTCCTTCCCCCCGTGTGGTTGGGTGCCCTTTCGGGACGCGCTGCCGGCTGGAACAGCTCAGCAGCAGCTCTGCAAGGGCCGCATTTCTTAAACCGCACTTCTGGAGCTGGGAATATCTGCTGCAAAACAAGGCACTCCTCGTGTTTCAGTTAACAAACTTTGGTGAAAGGGGCTCTAAAATAAATCACAGGGCAGATAAGGGGTCCCAAGCTCATGCCTTCTTCCCCAAACTCCATTATTTGCCTTTACAGGGGAGTTTATTCCCTGTGGCTGGTGTGTTGGTTACAGATAGGCAGGTTTGCGTCTTCTGGTGTATTTTGTGGCAGATTGGAAGTAAGTCATAAAAGGCTTCAGCATTCGGCGTGCTTTGTGCCAAGAGTCTGGGGCTGCATTCCCAGTGCTGGGCTGCAGAGCAGCTAGTGCCTGAGGACGGCGAGGGACGGGGACGGGGACGTGGGGACGTGGGCACACGGGCCCTGCTCGTGGCCCGGCCGCGCGGTGCCGGTGCCAGCGCCGCTGCAGCTGGGTGTGCAAAACAAGCGACGGATACGGCCGAGTCCCGTGATAGCCCCGAGCCTGGGCAGGATCCCAGGGCTGCGGAGCGCAGCAGCTGCTGGGCCCGGCCCTGTTCCCGGACGGCCCTTTGGAAACGATATCAGTGTGCGTTCGTGGCCGGGTGGCTGCCCCGCTGGAAACGCTGCTCGGGTTATGCCCCGTGCCCAAGTGCACAGACCGTCTCTGGTTGCTCCAAACCCTGCAGGTTAGGGAGCAGCAGCTGGCCGCAGCCAGTGGATCCGAGCGTGGGCTCCGCGGCGGCTGCGCCCGCTCCTCACCCTGCTCTTCTCCTCCCCAGACTCCGTAACGATGAACGGTTCCGACGTTGCCAACACCAGCACCCCCAGCCCCAAATCCAAGGAGGACCAAGTAGCGAACGGCCACGATGAAAAGGAGAGCAACCCCTTTGCGGAGTACATGTGGATGGAGAACGAGGAAGACTTCAACAGGCAGGTAGGAGCGAGGGCGGCCAGCCCGCGTTTCCGGGGCTGACACGGGGCAGAGGGCACAGCGGAGGCTTCCTCTGGTGCTGTCCAGGGAGCGGGAGCCGCAGCTGGGCTGGCCCGGCACCGGGGGTGGCTCCCGGCTGTCTCACTCCTGTCGACTCTGCCCGGATGCCGTGTGATGAGTAACGCTCGGAGAAAATCCTCGTGCCGCCTTCGGCGCTGTCGGATCGGCTTGGAGGCCAGTGACAGCCCTGTTGTTCTTCCCATGCCTCGCTCCGATAACTGAGATGTTCGCTCTCTGCGTGCTCAGCTCGAGGGTGAAAGCAAAATCAGCACCAGCATCTCCCCCAGTGCATTCATGGCACGGAGTCCAGAGCGTTCACGGCACTGCTCTCGGGGGCGAGTTCTTACGTTCGTAGCTGCCCTTTTGGGTGGAGGTTGTTCCAGTGCAACGGCCCCCACACTGCTGGAAGCAGCCATGCAGCTCAGTAAGAGGTCTGAGCACCGCGTCGCCTGCCTGCGTCGGCTTCGGGCTTGCGTGGGATTTTGTGCCAGGGCTGGATGAGGTGGCAGGGAACGTTGCTGGGGGCTGGAGTCCCTGGAGTCGTCCCCAAAGCTGCAGGAGGTCGCTCAGCTTGGGCCGGAGAGGGCAGGAGCTGGTGCTGCTCCAGCTGCCCGAGCTGCAGCACTCGGACGCAGCAGCCGGAGCGTCTCCCTCTCAGGTTGTGCCAGGCAGCCCCGCAAGCAGCTGCGCCCCTGGAAATGGGCAAGATGAATCAGCCGATGTCTGCAAAATGCTGCCTTGGTTGAGCGCGTGGCAAAGGCGACGCGCTGGAGTGGGTAAGGCCAGCGAGTGCCGTCCCGCTGCGGCAGGGCATGGGGCAGAGGAGCAGCACAGGGAGCCCCGGCAGCACGAGATGGAGAGGGGAGGGGATGGGGCTGACAGCTCAGCGGGCTTCGAGGAGCTTCGAGGAGGCTGGGGGAAAAGATAAGCAAAGAACCTGTGCAGCGAGATCCCACCTGCGCGTTGTTCCTGCGCCAGCTCTTGGGAAATGCCCTGGGAACACAAGCGGCTCCAGCCCTGCCGTGTCGGAGCCGCCTCTTGCCCCGGTGCTGTTCCCACCGGCTCGGGAAATGGAAAGCTCTTCTGGAAGTCCGAGGTCCCCTTTTAAGGGATTTTCAGCCTGTGTTGGGGAAGCTGCCGTGGCCGAGGCTGCGCTGTGCGCGTGGGGCCCAGTGCAGGCAGTGGCACCACGTGCCATTGGTGGCCCTGCCGCTTGGTCACCTCCAGGTTGGCACGAGAGCCAGGTCCTTTCTCCCCCGCTGCCTTTTCGCTTCCTCTCAGCCTCCCAAGTCACATGCCCTCCTCCGCCAGCGTTCCCTTCACCCGGCACAGCGGAACGGGCAGGGGTGTTCCGAAACCCACGGGCTCCTTGGCACAGGGTTCCATTATTGATGAGAGCAGGACCTCTTCTCCAAGGAACCAGCACATCCCGGAGGGCAGGAAAGGGAGTGCTGGGAGCTGCTGCAGGGAGGGCTGCGCTGACAGCCCAGGAGGCAGCGGTGGCTGCAGCATCTCTCAGTAACCTGCAGTGGGAGGTGACAGCCGTATCCAGTGTCACGGAGGCTGGCGAGGGACTCCAGACACGTAATAACCCTGTTATCTCCTAGCTCAGGTTGTTGGGACGCAGTAACGTGGGGCCTGACGCTGTCCCAGGAAGGTGGAGCTGCTCCCAGCTCTCCCTCCTGGTGCCCAGTGGGCCTTTTGTGGCAGCTCCACACGCTGAGGTGTTCCTGGCAAGGAAAAGAAAAGGCTGCTCCGAGCTTTGTGAGGGAATATCCCTTGGGAATATCCCTTGGGAATGCTCTGAGGTCAGATGGGCTGCAGGCAGCTCCGTCCCGCATCCTGGAAGAGCGCGGGGTGCTCGGCCAGGCGCTGGGAGAGCGCACAGGGCTGACCCGCCGTCTCGTTTGTCGGTTCCATCCTGTTTCCTCATGGGCTTTTGCGAGCAGCCACTGGAAACCCCAGCGAGGGTAACGATGGGAAGCAGTGCAGCTTCACTGGTGGGGAAGGGGGTTTCTGCCTCCCCGGAACTGATTTTGAGCCTTGTGGTGTGGGCTGTGGATTGCAGTGGAGCCGGAGCAGAGCTCCCCGGCTGCGGGGCAGCAGCAGGGCAGGACAGTTCGGGATGGAAAAGGGACATTTGGGGCACTTGGGAGGCTGGTGCATGCGGGTAGCAGCAGGAGCAGCCTGCTGTTGTGGCCAGGAAGGGGACGCGGTACCAAGTTTGGGGGCAGGTGGAAGCTCAGGCACAGATGGATGTGGGATTTGGGGAGCGTTTGGGGATCGTGCAGGTGGATCCCGCACTGCAACGGGAGACCTAAAGCAGGGCCCCTCCTAGCTGGGGACATGCACATGGGAGAGCAGCGTCCGAGGCGCTTCTGCTTGTCCCAGGCTTCGTGTCCAGCGCGCCAGGAACAGGCTGTCGCTGTCCCCCTTCCCGGGCTCTGCTCCTGCACCCGAGCGGTGCCGGCCCTCCGAGCTGCTCCGCGCTGCCCGGGCGGGTGATTCCCGGTGGGCGCGGCTTCGCCTCCGCCACACGGTTGGGCAGCGCCAGCCCTCACATGGAGCCGCTTCCTTCCCGTCGGGAAGTGCCTGCTCTGGCCACGGGAGCATCTGGCCTGCACTGAGCTGCAGGTGCTCGGCCTCTCCGGAGGGAATTGCTCATCCGAGGGAGTTGCCCGGGACAGCTTGGCCACCTGACCGAGCTCCCTGCAGAGCAGGACATGGATGCCAGGGCCGCATCCTGCTCCCCGTGGATACGTGGCTCCTGCCGCGTTTCCCTGGGGCGCGTTGGCACTCAGCCTGTCGAGCCTGCTCTGCAGAACTGCAGCAGTTGGGTAAAGCGTCGGCTCACACGGCTGCAACGTCACTCCCAGCCCCTCCGGCACCGGAGCCTCTCCACGCCACAACGCCCACTCCGCGTCCCAGCTGGGATTTAGTGCTCCATCCTGCCCGTCCGCAGCCAGCCCTGCCAGGACGTGGCACCTGGAGCCCCCCAGCACGTGCGGATGTCCTGGAAATCCTGCCCCAGCAGTGCCTGGACCCTGCGGGTGCCTCCCGTCCCCAGCAGCGAGGAGCAGTGTCCGAACGCGGCTTTGCTTTAGCCACCTGGAAGCAAACATCCCCATTCCAGGCTCTTGCAGGGCACCCGGCCATGCTGCTCCCGTTTCCCACACCTTGCTGTGTCCGTCCAAAGTTTAACATCCAGCTCTGAGGGAAGCGTGGCCTTTCTGAGGGGTGGACGGGGGACTTGGACCTGCAGAGTCTGCCTCTGCGGTCGAGGGCAGCACGTGCAAAACACAGAGGTGCCGAATTTGTACCCTGGGCCTCACGGTCTGTTTGGGCAGGTGGAGGAGGAGCTGCAGGAGCAGGAGTTCCTCGACCGCTGCTTCCAGGAGATGCTGGACGAGGAGGAGCAGGACTGGTTCATTCCCTCCCGCGACCTGCCCCAGGGCATGGGGCAGCTGCAGCAGCAGCTCAACGGGCTCTCCGTGACCGACGGGCACAGCTCCGAGGACATCCTGGTAAGGAGCAGGGAGAGCTAGCACCACCATTGGCACGAGGGCAGGTCTCACTGTGGGCTCAGGGCAAACCAGGACCTCTCTCGACTACTGGGCAGAGCTGAGGTGTGCCGAAGACCAGGAATGTTCAGGAGATGCCCGTTCTCATCCTCGAAAGCAGAAGAATCCTGCAGGACTAGCAAGGGCTGCACGGACCAGCATGCTGAGGCTGCTGGTGTGGGTGGGCCAGGCGGGTCCTCACCCCCTTCTGCCAGGGGTGACAATAAAATTTGGCTGTTGGCACCATGCAGCCTGTGTGACAAATGTTCTGTAGACACAAGAATCAAGAGACAGACAGAGAATTCTCAAGTGTTTGTCCTCCAAAGTCCATCCTGGGAGCAGGCACTTCTGAGCTGTCACCTTTTAGGCGCTGTCTTGAGTCATGGGGACTGGGGTGGCAATGCGAGCAGCGCGCACAGATGTCCCTGACCCTCACCCTGCTGCCTCCTCTCTTGCAGAGCAAAAGCACCTTGAATCCAGACGCCAAGGAGTTCGTGCCTGGTGTGAAGTACTGACCTTGGAAGCTGGCTCAGAAAGACTGTGTCCGTCTGCCACGGTGGGAAGGTGGCAGGAGCAGGAGGGAGGGGACGTACCCCCGCTGGACCCCGCGCCACGGCATTGTGGCCAACTCTTGCTCTGTGCTTCACGCACCGTTCGGGGGGTGGTTTTTTCTACTCTTTCTTTTTATCGTCTATCACTTTTTGGCAGTTTTTGCTTCCTGGGACTCGTGGCCCTGGGGTCTGTGCTGGAGTCCGGCACTGCTGCTGCTTCCGAGGCCCATTCCCCACGCGTGCTCAAACCGCGGGTGCTGAGGCTGTGTTTCCCGTTACAGTGTCCGTAGGATCCCCCTGCCTGTTCCCATCCGGGATGCAGCGAGCTGGGAAGGCCAGGGCCTGCGCAGGGAGCCACGTGGCTTCTCCTACTCCATCAACAATAGGTTTTTTCCCTAAAGGAAAGGTGAAGTGTCACAAGGCTGCAGAGGCCAAGCCCCACACACGGCGGCCTGGCCAGCCCTGCTCCGTGCTCAGTGCTGATGTAGCTGCTCCTTTGCTGCCAGGTGGGAGAGTCCGGCCGGCTTTAAGCGCTCGCGGAGCCCTCGCTGGGAAGGCTGCTCCGTTAGACACCCCGTCCTTCTCGGGGAGCTGTTTCTGCTACAAGATACGGGTTTCCCTGGCAGATTCCTTTTCCCTGACTCTTGGGCTTACCCAGCATTAGAGGCGATGGCTCTGAGGCATCTGTACCTTCATTTCTTACTGAAACGGTTGAAATAAATCCAAGAGAAACTGAGTGTAGCCCGTTCTGAGCCGTGCTGCAAAGTGGGTCGGGGCAGGGAGTTGGTTTCAAGCAGATTCTCTGGAAAAGGGCAGGAATCTTCTGTCACTGGGAAGCTCTGAGGACTCCTGCCACGAGTGGCCCTGCATCTTCTGCCAGCCCAGCTACCCTGGAAGGTGGATCGCCTCCTTGGGAAGTGGATCGCCTCCTTGGGAGGCAGGCTGCCTCCTTGGGAAGTGAACTGCCTCCTTGGAAGGTCTGTCTGGGTGAGAGCAGGCTGAGGACGATCCTGCTGCAGGAGGCTGCCCACCGGAGGGTGAATGTGGAGCCAGAGGAGCCCCCTGCACTGTTAAGGGAATTCCCTCTCTGGAAGAGCTGGTGTGGGGTGGGGAAAGAACGAATCCGCTTTGATCTGCCCTGAGGGACTTGCTGATGAGCAGGACAGTTTGGAATCCCCCACACAGATATTTAGAGGAGGGGAGAGCCCTTCATGGTCCCCTCGATGCCGGCTGCAAGGGATGCTGGTGGCAGGTCCCAGACTTTGCTCCTGCCCAGCGAGGGCTGCAGGATCCAGGCTTTGCTTCCCAAACCGCCTCCCTTTCCCTTCTGCTCTCCTAAATCACCTGCTCTGGAGATTCCTTCCCAGGAGAAGCAGGGCCGGGAGGACCCGGATGCATTTTCGGTGGGGTCCGTCCCCAGCGCCAGCTCTGCGTTGTCACCGCATTCGCTCTAGTGACGCTGTGGAGGTTTTGCTGCTCTGGCCAGACCCTGCTCCCCAGGCACGCGGATATACAGGATTCCCTCTATTCCCATGGAGCAGTTCCTGGCTAGGGCCTGCGGCTCCTTGGGGCTTGCAGGGCTGGAAGCCAGCGGCCCCTTGGGAGCTGCCTTGTCCTGCTCCCATTCCCACCTTCATAAGCTGCACAAGGCCATGAGCACCCGGGATGCTTGGCAGAACGATCCCATTGGAGCTAATCCGGCTCCTCCTGCTTCGTTGCCCTGGCACCGCCTCTTTCCTGGTTTCTATTGACCGCTCACTCAAAAAGCCCTCTGATGCGCTGTAAATTTCAGACCACGCATTATTAAAAATAAGCTTTTTTTTTGGTTTTGGAATGCAACAGTGCAGAACCCTCCCTGGAGCAGGGGTGAGCGCTCAGTGCAGCAGCCTCTC